AAGTCCAGCAGGAGCTACCACCAGCATCAGGCTGGTGGAGAGCTCTAGCAGCCCGGCAGCCAGGTGAGGTCCGGAGACAGACATCATCCTCGTGAGCAGGGTCTTGGCAAGGCCAAGCTGCAAAGTGCCTGTACGAGTGCAAGTTATTTTCCTCTGGACACAAGCAGTTTCTAAATGCCTTCAGGAACAAATTTAGGGGCTTACTGCCACCCAGAGAAATGCACGTTCTTGAAGAGCCCAGAAAATAGCAACTCTAAGAAGAGCTGGGGGGATGCAGCAGACAGACAAGAAAACAAACTCCCAGCATGGCACAGTAGCGTGAAGGGCCCAAGAGCTCCTTGGATGTAAAATTGCCTGTAAAGGTGACTCGACTGTGGGCTGGGTGGTGCAACAACTGGCAACACTGGCACACAACCTGCATTTGATGTTTCTAAAGGTGGTGGTACAGAGGAAAGACTCGGCAGTTATTTAAGGCCTGGAAAAAGTGTTGAAAGAGGCTTGAAAGACTCAGTACCAGGTGACCTGGTACAGAGCTGAAGTATCTTCTCAAAGAGAAAAAAACCCAACATTTTGAAAGGCTCTAATGTCATGGAAAAAAGGCATGACAGGAATTTAAAGACTGGCAGAGGGACCCAAACACAGGCCCTCTGTAAGTCAGCCAGACATTAACCAGTGAAATCCAGTACCAAGACAAGTGGCAGGTTCACGATCTTCTTGCATCTTTGAATCAAGAAGGACCCTTCTCTAGAAAGCATACACCTGCCAAACACAGGAGTCAAACAAGTTCCCGGGCCCAAATCCAGAGTAATTATTGTTCCACTGATCACACAGAGGCAGTAAAAAACCCCACACAAACAAAAACCCAAAACCCAAAACAATTCAGCAGCTCAAGCTCTCTGACCCAAGTCCAAGGCCGCAGCCGTCTGATTTCTGGCCGCAGAGGAGGGCATGAAGTACTCTGTAGTCCTCAACCTGCTCCAGACCTGGTTGCAGAACAATCCCAGGCCTTTCCAAGGAGAATCAAATGACCTGCGAGTCGCACCACGGCCATTTTCCACACTTACTGCTGGAGGCAGCAAGACAGGAGTGCCCTTACCCAGCCAGTGAGATTGTGAACAAGCCCTGCCACCATCAGGAACTGCTGCTGAGAAAGATGCTCTGTCGGATCTCTTACCAGTGCTGTATCCGTGAGAGCCGTAGCCGCTGGGCTGCTGAAAAGGGGTTGCTGATGCGTTGACGCTGACATTCACACCATGCTGCTTGGAAGAGGTAGGAGCAACCTACAGAGAGAAGTGGAGTGAGGAGAGGCTTTGCTGCATTGCCCTCCTGCCCGAATCCCACACCCTGCCTCTGGGAAACTCACAGGGAACACGGCGGGCCCGTATTGGAAGGTGCTGGGGAGCCCTGGTACCCCTGTGTAGTACGGCAGACTGGTGTAACTGTAGCCAGGAGGCAGCGCCGGGTTCAGGAACGTCTGCTGCGTGGTGTGGTGAGTCTGGGTCTGGCTCTGCTGAGGCTGCGCCAAAGTTGTTGCAGGAGCCGGGGAAGAGGCATCGCCTCGGCCAAATTTTGTTAAGTCACCTGGAATACAGGAGATCAAAGGAGACTGAACAACAGCCGTGTCAAATCCTGGCCCATTCCCGCTCAGCTCAAAGGTGACCCAGCCTTTTGATCAGCGGTGACTGGAATCAACTCCCCTCCTAACAATACAAAGGACTGCAGACCTCACAAGCCCTCAGACCCTTGCACTCAAGATAAGGCTAAGCTGTTAATTGCTCTCCTCATCCCCGAGAGGACGTCAGAGGGAAAGGGAAACCCACAGCACCTACAGTGCTGCACTGCCCGATGTCAGCCAACGATCTGGCACTGTCCGCCTGTGGCGGCAAGAGAGCCCAGATACTAGAACTCTCCCTAAGCCCTCTCCGTGCATCAGCAGCAGGTCTGAACACAACTCAACTCCCTCCAGAGCCAGCCCCGAGGCCAGGGCAACAGCCTGGGGGCCCTGTCCCACCAGCAAACACCACCGGCAAACAGCTCCTCCTTGAAGAGGAGAGTCAAATATCTTCCAGTCGAGGATGCGTGAACGGCCCCTTTTTACAGCAGGGCTCACAGCTCCCTTGCTCCTTCTGCTGGCACCAAATCAAACGCTGCTGCTGAGGCCCAGCAGCCCACAGAGAGTATCTGGAAATACCGTTTCCTCTCTTCCCAGTCTGGGCACTGCATGAGGACTTGCCTACAAGGCTCGGGGGAGCTCCCTTTGCTGCTCTTTACGAGCACCTGCTCGGCTCCTCCATGCAAACACACGCCCCGTTCAGAGCTGGCACAGTAAGCCAGTGAATTTCTCAGCGTTGCCCCAGCTCACAAGCCAGTCCAGGATAGCCACAAACATTAATTATCACCGATGTTAACTTGGCAGTGCCGCACTCTGAGCTTGGGATTTCAGCCTCCGTGTGCCAGGCAAAAGCACTTCCGCATAAACAAGCCCCTGCTGAAGCAGGGGAGAAGTGGTGCTGGGAAAAGAGCGATCCACAAAGCGCACCAATTACTAAAGCACGTGAAAGCTCAGCGTAATTGTTGTCCATTGCAAATCAGCAGTGTGAATAAACACACCTACCAAGGTCAGTGAGAGATTAGCCACCCACTGGGCGTTTGCTTTGAATTTGACAGGTCCTAAAAGCCGTTTTGTTTCTCCATGAAACCGTTGCATAGATAAAACTGTTGCATAGATAAAAAAAAAATTCTCCAGATTTTGTGTTTCTTTGTATTTTTACTCTTAAGTGCTTGAGAAGCACTGCTTAACCCCTGCCTTGCCATGACCTGAAAAGCAGTTCCCCAGTTTTACACCTCACGGATTCTTTCAGCCCTTCCTCCCTCCCCTTCCAACTGCCACATCAACTACTACTTGTCCACATCTTCTTGGTTATACACGTTGATGCGACCAGATGCTCAAAGGGAAGTCAAGAATTTAGCTGCTGAGAAAACACACACCAAAGGCAGTGCAGGAGGCTGGTACAGACGTAGCTCCAGCGGACAATGGCACAGGAAACTAGAAAGCAGCAGCACGAACACCCGACGGGATACGCAATCAAAGCAGTCTTTTTCCCTACCAGAGTACGGATTGCTGCTCAGGCTGCCATCTCTTCCAGTCAGCGGGGTGGTGGGCGTAGGGAATGGGATGCTGTAGTAATCCTGAAGGATAAAAACAAAAGGAGAAGTTTTATGAGCTCTGTCCAAAGATGCAAAGCAGTGTCTTTTGCAGAAGAGGGATTTCTGGACTGCAGCCATTAGATTATGTTGGAGTATTGTAGTTCAATCAGCCACGTCACGGCTGATCACAGTCTACAGCAACCCCACGTTTTTCTCGCATGCACCATCCCCCTCGTCTGGCTATTAGAAGAACCAGATAAGGTCTACTGGTGTGCAGTCCTTAAACCACCTGGACTTTCCACTTCACAACACAAGGGAAACATGTCGTATTGCTAAAGAAATCCCATTCTCATAAAAGTATTTAGTCACTGCCTCTTTCAAGGATCAGAGGCAAGTATCTACAACAGCTCATCACACCACCGCTGGGCAAACCAGCTCTGCCTGCTGTAGCTCTCACATTCCCTAACCCCACCATCGATACCGCTGTCTGAATAACCAGTGCTCCTAACTCCAAGTGCGAAGGAGCAACCGATTAATTCCTCCCTACTGCCACGGAGAGGTGCACCCATTTAGCACCCCGTTTCGCCTGCTCTTCAGGACTACCTCACGGCCTGACCTGTCTGTACCCGAAGCACACAGCTGTCAGACCAGTGGAAGTGGGGTGTCCACATCAGTCTTCAGTACTCACCAATGGGAATCTTGTCTGGAGCATTTGCAAGTCATCGTATCCGTACACCTGTGGCTAGAAAAAGAGCAGGAGATGATGTTAGGGGGACAGACTAAAGATACTTACCTAATTTTAGACTAAACATTTAGATAAACATGAGATAAAGCCAGAAGCAGACAATCAGAGGCTATGCAATTACCTAGGCGCAGGCAGCCAGCATTCAAACAAAGAGTGAGCACCAATGCCTAGCACCGCTGCTCCAGACTGCAAAGGCACTCAGCAATTTTCCTCTAGAAGTTATTCCAACACCGAAATCTGTCCTCCTCACCTTCAGAAGAGGGCTGTAACACACCACTAGACTTTGTGGCAGTCGCCACCCTTGTTCTGACTATTTGGCCTTTGTCATACCATGTTGCTAATACAGCTTCACACTTTCATGCTCTGACCAAGGGCTGTTGCTCCCCAAAGGTTGGGGAGGCTATAGAGAACAGGCAGACAGAATCTGCTCTGGGGTGACCAGAATTACAGACATTTACCCCCATGGGCACATGGATTTCCTCTGCTACTGCTTTAAGGAAAACACCAGGTCCAAACTCTTCCCGTCCAAGGCAGTCCTGCTGGGCTGACGTTATAGCTTCTGGTTTCTCTATTATACTATATCCCTCCCTGCCAGCTGAGGACAGAGCTAGAAGGGATCTAGTAACATGACACACAAAGAGCCAGTCCCACTCACCGGATAGGCATGTAGCAACCCTGGAGCCATGATGTATGGATTAGGCAACAATGGTGGGACTCCAGGAGGGAGATTGGGAGGGGCTTTTCCTGAAAAAAGAAAGAGAAAGGAAAAGTTCCACAGTGAAGCAAACAGCAGAAGATATGTCTCTCAGTCCCCACACCCTCCTCTTGTTTAACAGTACCCAGGAAAGTACCTGATGTTGTTGCAACGGAACTGCGAGTCGAGGCCGTCACCGTGGAGTTACTGCTGAGGCTGAGGCCCAGGCTGCTGACACTGCTGAGACTGGATGAAACGCTTACGACTGGCGGGGCGGCTGACACTGTGCTGGAGGAGGTGGAGAAAGTGCTAGCAGAAGAATGGAGGCTTGCTTCACTCTCCACACTTGTGTGCTAGGGAAGGAAGGGAAGAGAGTTAGGGGACCAGACAGATGTAACCAAGTGCAGAAATACCGCAGGATGCTGTCTACGCCAAATATCGCGCGGCTCTGTCTGCACCCGGCCGTTCTCGAGAGCCTGCAATGAACTTGGCTGCTGCAGGCTACAGAGAAGCCAGCTTTTGCATCTGGCTTAAGTCCAAAGTCCTAAGAGCAGCCAACCCCTAATGCTTCCAAGCCTCTTGTGCGGCTGTGTCCCAACACGTCTGTCTGCTGGGAGAAGCAGGGCTGAACACCGCATTTGCGGTAGGGAGATTTATTCTGCTGCAGAAGCCAATACCCAGGGACTCTGCACTGCAGGAGCTCCAGCAGTATATACATTTGAACAGTGATGCTCCATCAGCTACCAGTTTGCTCTGACATCTGGTTGCAACTCCGCAATGCTTTCAAGAGCTGCTACGGGCTCAAAAGAAGCTGCTGTCATGTCTGAAACAGGCAGGGTGTCAAAAACCTCAAGCCAGAGGTGTTCTGACATAACCCTCAGTCCTCTCTCCACACAACATCCCAACTCCAGCAGGACAACCTGGCAGCTCCTGTCACAGCCACAGATCCCACCGGCCGCGCACCCAAGGTCGGGCACGCCAACAAAATTCTCCATTTAGGAATGGGTGCGCACAGCACTAGAGCACACCTAGACTCACCAGAAGAGTTGAAGTTGATGTTCGCCCGGAGGATGTGGATGAGGACAGACTGTTCTGCTGGGTGGGTAACGTACTGTGGAAGGAAGAATAAAAGGTTGTCAAGCCAAGGTGCGAGAGTCACCCTTTGTACCACCAGGCCAGACCCCATTCCCTGTCTACCCGGGTGGGATGAGTCATCTCAGTCTTCCCCACTGCATGAGACAGATTTTGAGGTCTACTATAGATCCCTGCTTCTAGTTCCGCTTCTCTAGAAATCCATCCGTCACGTTGGCTCACCTGCTGAGTTGGGCAGTGGTCGTACTGGGGAGTTCCTCACTGTGGCTCAGGCTGCTCAGAGCTGTTGAGTGTTGGCTGGCTGTTGTCAGCAAGGACGATGCAGATACCCCATCGTTGAGAGGCGTGATACTGGGAGCAGAGGGGGAATCTGATTTCACTGTGGGACCTGTAGCACCTGCAAACAAAAGCTTTGGGTTAGGGGCAGCTACTAGCAGCTCCTGGAGGGCAATTCGGTGGTGAGGATCAGCAAAGGCGCAGCTCAAGAAGCAGGGAGATCTGGGGCTTCCCTCACCGCTGCCAACCAGTTACACACTTGTGACAGCATGATTGTGTTCTGTATCTGCCCCAACACTGTCATCGGCTCTGCAAAGAGCTTCAAGCCCTACAGATGAGGTGCCTTTCACTAAGAAATCAGAGTAAATTATTGTCATCAGGGAGTGACTCATCAAGGATCTCATGGATCCACCAGCAGAAAGCTGCACATTTCAAGGCAAGCAAATAATCTGGGTGGCAGCAATTAGTCCAGCAGAGAAAGGACTTGCTATTAGCACAGATAAAGCTTTTCATCTAAAGCAAAGAATATGAGCAGTACAAGAGACTCAGGACACCCACTGCACTGACAGACTCTTACCTTCAACGGCTTGTGTGGTTTGTAATGGCGTGGGTTGTACAGAACTGAAACCATTCTGAGGAAGGAAAAAAAAAAATAAAAGAGTACAGGGCAGTGCAGCTGCTCATTTCCAGAGGCAAATCTAGTGGCAGCCCCCTCCCATGCCCCCTCCTCAGTTGTGAAAAAGGTACGCTACCAACACATGTCACCAGACTGCGTTAGGGTTGGTCCCAAGCTCAACTAGCCCGGTGCCAACGTGACCCCCAAGCGCGTATTTGAGAAAGCAGTACAAGAAGTTTCTCTGCTGCTGGTAGTTAGACTGGTTCAACACCCTCAGCCCAAGTTCGTTAGCCCAAATCAGTGTTACTGAACTTGTGTGGAGCACACAAGAATTGAACCCTTAAGACAAAACTAAATCTTTAGCCTGAATTGCCACTTTGCAGGAGGGTAATTCTGCGTGGCACGACACATGGCCTGCAATCAACTTAACCACTGTTAACCCCACTGGCCCAGCCCCAGGTGTAACATAACAAAGGGCTCTGGTACAAGCCAGAAAAAAAAAGCTCTTACAAGAGTCCACAAGCCATGTGGTGAGGCTGGAAGATTGCAGAAACACTTGATAAACCACCGGGCTTCCTCTGAGACAGTGCTTCACACGCTACGCTTACTCAGCACAAAGAGTGAGCAAAGCTATTTTCCTACCTTGGCCTGGGTCAGATCTTTCTGGGGCGAGGAGGAGATTGAATTTGGGTATCGCCTCGTCTGGGTGGATCTCTGTTCATACAGTGGTCCCTGAGCGCTGTTCTGGGAGGTAAATGTTGCTGTCTGTATTGTGCCGCTCTGGTAACCAGACTCCTGGCTTTGATTGGATGAAACTGTGGATGAAGATTCACTAAAAAGGAGGGGGGGGAAAAAACCAAACAAAAAAAAAGTTTACATTTGCCTCCAAAACAGCCCTGCTCTAAACTGCTGACCCAGACTGCCAGCTCTTCATTTCAAATCTTCAAAATAAAGAGCCCCGAGCATCAGCATAAAGGCACCACACACAGCAGCCAAGCAAACCGAGCGGAGACGCATACCTGGGTCGGCTAGCCCGACCACAGGAGGATGCTGGCACCTAGTCTAGCTGCAACCTTGCCTCACACACTGCTGTGCTCCAGGTGATGTTTCGTGAGCTGCCACCACTCGGGTCCCAGCCCAGCAGAAGACAGGAACACTCTACTTCGGTAAGACACCATCACTGTAGATAAACCTACTCTGCTGTGTCCCGCTTTGCCAGGCAAAAAGCAGGACAAAGCGTGCAGAATCTGTTCACCAGGGACAAGAAACAGTTGCGCTGGGGATTCCCCTCCCGTGTTTCCAGCAACGCAGTTTAACGACAGCAGGAAACTTCTGCTTTCTGTGTAGGTACCACAGGCCAGTCACAGAGCTGCCTGAACGAGTCTGCTGGCAACGTATCCTTTGCTGTTACACACATTGCTCCCTCTTTGTGACCATGGCACAGTCAGAAAGGGTCTACTAGTATGCAGTATAACTAAAGCCCAAGGGACCAGGGACTTTCCAAAGCTACCTGCTCGGATTATTCATTCCCTTCCTCGTGCCTGGTCCTCACCTAGCCGTGCTGGTATACAGGCTGCTTTGAGATTGGCTAACGGTTACGCTTGTCGTGGGTGTCGATTCGTACTCCGCGAGAACAGGCTCCGAACCAAACTGTAATGCCCCAAACTGCAGGTTTAGCCCTGAGATATCTGCTGAGCCAGGCATTTCCACCGCAAGCGCAGGAATCTGCAAGGGAGGAACAAGAGAAAGGGTCGATCAGTCCCTGGGGTCATCGCAGAAAATCCACGTTTCCCGGCACATGATGGTAGTTACCGGCTTGCGTCCTCTGAATTACGCTGTTCAACCCAGGTAGGCAAGCTTTTATCTGTCAACCCCCAAAACACCCAATGCTAACAGCAGGAAGGCCAAGTCCAGCCCTTCCCTCACCAGTCCAAACAGATTTCTCCGTAGCTCTAGCACAATACACCTCCTTCCCCACCACTGATTCGCACCTTTGATGTTAACGATGCTTTCTTCTTTTGCTGCTTCAGCTTATGCTGTGCTGGCTGCGGACTGGAGGACTGGTTGTCCGAGGACCCTGGGGACATCTGGGGAACAGGATTGGTTTTGCTGGGCAGCGGCGAGGAAGGGGGTGCCGGCACAGTTGTGGAGGCAGTCACCACAGGCTGTTTCTCCTGCATGAACACTTCTATCATGGTTGTAGTTGACGTGAAGGCCTGACGCTTGGTGAAGGGACTATGCACGGAAGTGTCTGTTGGGTTCTTGAGATCTACCGGGGGAGACAGAGTTGAGTTAGCAAGATTTGTTTCCTTAAAACTAATCAAGTTCTGGCATTTCTCAGCATCAAGAAAAAGAAAATCATTTCACACCGACTCTTCCTGGAGCCTGTTAAAATCAGAGAGCAGAGAACCCCAGCATCTCCACTCCCAGCCTCGTACTCTCACCACCATCAATGCCGAGCCTTTTGAACCCTTCTCCCCTCAGCTCCTTCCACCACCTCTAGACAAAGCAAGCTTGCACAGCAGAAGTCCTCCATCCTCCAAGAAAAGCTGGACTTGAGTCCCTTGTGGGGAGGCACTGCACAGCAGAGTCCTGCACGGGCCTGACACTGCTTCCTTCCCCCTCTCTGCCAACATCGCTGCATTTCATTGCCTGCTCTTTCCTCTGAAATTACTCTCAATCACTGTTTATTCCCTCAAACCAGCCCAGAGGTAGAGTTATTTCTTGGCATTTAACAGTCACCAGAATTGAATTCCTTTAAAAGATAACGTCAGGTCAGCAGTGAGACGAGACTGACAAGCGTTGGTATTCAGGAACTATTCTTCAGAGGTGCCCACTTTCAGACCCCTTCTCTGTTACACAGCTTTACACCAGGAAGTAGTTCTGCACACTGTTGGGTCTGATCCCTGGCCCTGAAGCTGGCTGGAATGACCCAGAGGATTCAACTGCTCTAAGTATAAAAGGAACAGGGAAAGACTCGTGTACTATCACATTTTACTCTCACAACTGCACCCACGGTTCTTTTAATTTCTCCAGAACTCGGCTTGTTGTGAACTTCTGATTTGGCCCTCCACCAAACCCCTCACATTGCTGCTTGCAGCGTTTTTCTGCAGTTCTGGAAGAATATGCTCCCCTTTGGGGAGTCACACTGCTTTTCCTTACCATACTGCACGAGAGACGAGGTCTGCGTAGTGGATCCCATGTCCCAAGAAGAAGCAGTGGTGCTCCCACCAGGCTGGGTGTGCTGAGCAGCCAGCTGAGCCAGAGCCTGGGCTGTCTTGAACTGCTCCAGGAACTGAGAACCTGTGGTACTGCTGCCTTTGGCCTCCCCGACATCTCCAAACCCTTTCCCCAGCATGCTCACCTGCAATTTCAGCAACAAAATACTACATTCAACATCTCCCTTGGCTTGGAACTTGGCTCGGACAAGTCATACATCTTAACATAAACCTGAAGGCACTGTACCCTGCTGCTTCTCTCTGGGTACCCCAGCTTAACACTCTGGAGCTCCAGATGCACAGATACCGCTGGCAAGGAGAGCTCATACTTCTCTTGCAGCCTTTATCGCACGTGAGCGTACACTTATCTGTTGCCCAACGCACAGCATTTTGCAGCGTCATGGAGGCTTACAAAGAAAGTTAACAGATGGGATCTTTAAAAATGTACTAAATTATTCACGTGCATTTCAGTTGCACTAAAAATGACAACCAGCAGGAGAACTCGGCTTTACAGGTAAGGTGTTTTTAAAAATCCTTCCTGAACTACCCCATTAAGTACACAGTTTTTATTTCTCTTGCTGAAGTTACACAAAAAAGCGTCTGCCCAGGTCTGTGCACATCCCTGATTCAGATGCAATGCCTCCTTCCTTCACGTGTCAGTAGATGTCAGCATTTCATCCCACACCAAACTCCCCACCAGTCCCACTTCTCAAACTGTTGAATTTGCAAGCCCTGGACTGCAAGAGTTTTTCCCTTTCCTCTGAGCAGGAAAGAAGCACGCGTTGCAAGTCTGAAAAGGGCAACAGGGAAGGAATTATCCCAATTATTTCTAATTAAGCAATGGACTTCATGCCTCTATTTACAGCAGACTGGCAAATCATCCAAGCAGAGGACTCTGCCACCCACAAGAAACGCGCAGGTGTCAGAACTGCAGTTCCCATATCGCCCAAACGCAGACAGAGAACGTCAGGGAAACCAGCACCGGCCAAAACCCAGCAGAGACCAGTATTTCCTTACCATGCTGTGGTGAGAGAAGGAGTTACCAGAGGCAGGCTGGGATATAGCACTCTGCTTAGAATTGCTGAACACCAGTGGCTGGGCCAGGGAAGGAGCCTGGGATGACTCCAGGTTTGTTGACTCATTCTCCATAGAAGAGGGCGTCTTTCCTAGCAGGACTGCAAGATCAATTCTGGGTAAAGAAGATAACCCACTGAGGTTAACATGAGCTCTGTCGCACCCCTCGCTTCCTTTACAGCAGTATTCTACCTCCAGCCTCACGATTTATCGCTCTTACTTTACACATTGAATGGATCTGCAGAACATTAACTCACAAGTGCCAGAAGCAACCTCAAAAGGACAGAGACCAAGTAAGATCCTGCATGGCCTTCTATTTTAAAGCAGGTCTTCCAAGTATTTAATACAGCAAAATGCCCCCAAATCTGAAGAACCAGCAGCAGAGCCTAGGAAAACTCTAATCCAGGACTAGGACCCAGAAACTCCTAACTCAACTTTTTCCATTTAAACTCATCTCCTCTTACTCAGAGCTGCACATTTTAGCTAGCTGGCAAGGTTTAGTCTGAAATGGCAAATTGCTCTGGGACTTGCGTGCCACTTTTCCCACGTAAACAGCATCACTATGGGCTATCACCTCTGTCCAGCTGTGATTGTCACATTCTCGGCAGGCAGAGGCACTGAAGACACATTGGAGGCAGTGAAGATCTTCGTCTCAGACAGCTGAAAGATAAAAAAAGGGGAGGAAAAACACCCCCAAAGTGAGAACAGCATCTCAGGACTCCAAGTAAAGCACACAAATGTTTGAGCCACAAACAGAAATTCAAGTGTTTAGTCTTAAACTTCTCTAATATTTGGCTCCCATTAGAATCAGCTTCTATTTTATTTGTTTCTTCTCAGGCAAGTACACAAATTCACCTGCCAGAGGAAAAAAAACAAAACCAAATCCTCCCACAAATTCCCTGTAGTCCACAAATCCTCTAGGGCTGCTGGGGCTCTGAGCTGATGGTACGTAGCACTGATCTGCAGAGGTATGTGCAAGCATGGCTAGAGAAGTCAAAGAAAAAAAGCTTCAGACCCACAGCTAAACTTCAAATGTTCCTGGCCTCACCTGTAAGATCTGACCAGAGACCAACAGATCTACTTCAACTATGGAAGGGAAAATAACATCAAAAAATGAATGAAGGGGAGGTTTAATGACCACCTGTGATTTTAGTCTGGAACACACCTGAATTTGAACAGCTTTTATTCCAGACTGAGGAGCTGCCAGCAACTAAACTGCAAGAGTTTAAATACAGAATCCAGAACCCCTGGGAGCATATCACACACACTGAAGACAAGAAGGGCTATCAAAAGCTCTCTTCAAGCAGAGATCTGACTGAACAGACAGAGGAGCTGCTTGCGCCTCCAAACACAGCAGTAGCGCTTTCCTCAGACGGCGCCTGGAAAGCAAAAGGTTTCCCTTTGTGCCTGTTCCGTAGTCTTAGCAAAAATGAGCATGCAAAACTAATAACACTACTAAAAAAGCCCAACCCTGCTCTCATCTGCAAGAACAGAAGTTCTCCCTTGATTCAGAGAGGGACCAGAGCCCATTTCAGAAGAAACTGATACAGACGTATTAGAAGCAGGTGGTAACATTCTCCCCTGAAGGAGACACCAGGTAGAGAACAAAAAGCAGCTAGACACACTAACGAGCATATCAGGAGATAAAGCCAAGAGCTTCTGTTCAATCCAAATTACAAGGACCAGCAGAGGCATGTGACGCACGAAACCGCTGCTGCCTCCTCCATGGCACGTGGCGTAGATCAAAGGCAAACCTTCCCAAACTGCCACTCCACTGGAGGAACAGAGCGAGAATCTGGCGTGGAGTCAGGCCAGTTTATGGAAGAATTCAATCATGCAGTTGCAAGAGATGAGAGGACCAGATTCCACGTGCTCAGAGATCCCTTCCTGTCTTGGGCTCCCATGACAAGCTCTACTACACACGTACTTTTTAAAAGCAGCAATGTTTACTTATTCATCATAGCTCTTGGAACTGGGAGCCTGGCTCGGGCTATGCCCATAGTTTGGGGAGGATGGGCTTTGCGCTCCTCTCATAGCTGTGTGCGTACAACCAGGACAGCAGCCTGCCAGCAGACGCACGGAGGAGAGTGGTTTGGAGAGTACCTACATCTTCATTCCAGTCCTCTGTGCCCCATTCTTCTGTCGCTGCCCTCCACGCACCTACAAGGATAACAACAGGTAGAGAAGTTACACGTGCATCAAAGCTCTACCTCCAAGAGCCAGGGAAGCACTGGGGAGCTTTGCAAGCAGCTGAGAGGATTTCTATTTGCCAACCAGACAAGTTAAAGCAGTCGACCCTAACCCACCACACACGGGCAAGATACTGTGACGGGATCGCCTCAGCCTTGCTCGGGCAGGCTAGGCTAAAACAGAGGGACTGCTGGGCTGGCAGCTAGGGCAACACACGCACCCCGACACCAAAGAGGGAAGCTGAGCTTGGCAAGGAAGCCCTAGCATTGCCCCCAGCCTCCTTGTGCCATTTTCCTGATTTCCCCTCGTATCGCAGTAGCTGCAGGTTTCTGCATCCACGAGCAGTTAGTGTTACCCCAGCAGCTTGGACAGAGCACCTCCTTCGGGGGCTTCCTCCTGTGCAGGACCTCATCGCCCAGTTAAATCTTAAGCTTCTAAAAAAATCCAGGAACAAGTGAATCATTTGCACGGTTCATCTTTCCCCCGCCCCCCAAATATTGAAAACCTCACTGCGCTCCTGTGCACAGGCAAATGGGAATCAGAAAGGAAAACTTAAGGGATTAAGCAATTCAAGCATTTTCTGTGACCGCTTTCAGGAATGTCCTCAAAGTGAGTTTAAAATATCAGGGAGAAAAGCATGAGATTTCAGCCGCAATCCAGCACAGTGCAATTTGTAAGACAGCAAAATTTATTAGAAAAGAAGTTTTGCCTGGCCGTTTCTTCAACTTGTTCCGTCCCTCACTTCCATCAGAGTTTAATGTCAATACTTTGAAGTTTATACGGCAACTTCCGAATCCATTAGACAACTTAAAATTTGATGTGGGAGGAGAGCGGGAGCATTTTACATCCCAAAAAACTCAGAGCATAAAACCAGCCCCATTTTGCACAGCTCATTTTCAGCCCACGCAAACCAGATCAACAAAACCCAACACAGCAACAGGGTTAATCCTGAAGACATTTGCAAGACGAAACAAGTTGGCATCAGACCTTTTATAAGCTGAAAGTCTTTTACAGCATAAAAACAGAGCACGTGGGGAATGAGAACATTACAGATTCTTCTGCAGGACACAATCAGGCTCACTGAGATTTTTTGGGGGGGAAGAACACAGCAGAGCTTCCCATATACACTTTAATTATGAGATCAAAACATCCAAACAATTGCTTGTCTAGAAGTGAGGGATTTAGTACAGGAAATAAGCATATTATCAGTGAATTATTCTTTTTTCATTGCTGTTTCGTTTGCTCTTTTGTGTTGTCTGACAAGTTGAGCCAATTTAAGAAACCTTCCTGATTGTTTTGTTGTGGTGGTTTTTGGGGTTTTGTTTGTTTGTTTGGATCAATGTAGAAATACAGATATTAATACAACACTACTTCCTTGAGTGCCTGGAGTTTCAAGGCACACGACCCCTTCCTCTCCAGACAGAAGCATCAGGAGTTCAACACATTCAATGCAAAACACATCTGTGGTTTAAAAACCCAGATTCCACCATTCCTTAGATTTTTTTTGTGCCCTCACAGCAGTAACGGGAAGGCTCCTTTCCAGATTTTCATGGATCAGAAAGATCCTACCAGCTCAACCCTTACCCAAGAGGTGAAGTAGGAGCTGGAGGTACCTGGGTCAGCTGCAGTTGGCAGGGGAGAGCAGAAAGCCAGGAGAGTTGCCCCAAGAAGAGTTTGTGCACGTAGGAACACGGCACAGGGCTCTCTTAGTCTTGCTCGCTTGGGGGAAATGAGAAGAAAAGCAAAGCAGCACAAAAAGCAGAAGGAAATCCTGCAGATGAAGAGCAGCCATTGATGGGGCTTGCCTGGCAAGTCTACTTCTCAAGTATTGGACACCTATTCAGCATGGCTCGTGATCCTTGCACATGAAGGGACGGATGTAAAACCAGACCTTGCGATGTACAACGGGGCATTGACAGCAATGGTCCAGAAAGCTTCCTGACCACCACACTGCGTTTAGATTTTTTAAAGAAACTGAGCGTATCACTCTCCATCAAGCTCTTCCAAAGGGGAGACCTGCAACGCAAGCAATGCCCCAACACTTCTAACACCATTTCAGAAGTGTCATCTTCTGAATAGCAATCCCTCCTCTCTGCTTTAAGGAAGCCTTTCAAAGAGCTGCTGGTCTTTAAGCTCCTCAAACCAGGAAAAGGGGAAAAAAATTAAAAGTCAATAGGCATTTGGAGATATGAACGTGCTTGTCCTGGTTTTCAGCTGGGATAGAGTTAATTTTCACAAGAAGCTGGGAGGGGACACAGCCAGGAAAGCTGACCCAAACTAGCCAAAGGGCTATTCCATACTATGACATCATGCTTAGTATGTAAGGGGGAAGCTGGCTGGGGAGGAGTCACTGCATAGGCTGGGCATTGGGTTCTGAGCCGTGAGCAAATTCCATTGCATATCACCCACTTTGCATACTCTAAGTATTGTTGTTGTTATTTTTCCTCCTCTTTTGGTGTTCTAGTAAACTGTCCTTATCCCAACTCACAAGTTCTACCTTTTTCTTCCGATTCTCCTCCCCCATCCCACCAGCGGAAGGGAAGGAACGAGTGAGCGGCTGCGTGGTGCTTAGCTGCCGGCTGGGGCTAAACCACAACAGCACTGAAGAAAAAAATCCCATCATGTCTTCCAGATTTCACGCACTCCCCCCAGATACACTATCTCTTCATTTTAAACTGGGAGATGAGCGAGCGGCTCGCTCCTCCCGCAGCCCATCAGGCAGCCTGCCACCATCTCAATGACTGGATACATGCTTGATGGCCCACAAGGGTTACAGACCAAAAATCCCCCACTCCGCACCTCGGAGGAATGTAAATCCAAACAAAGCCGAAGCGTGGTAAAAATATAATGGCAGCACTGGAGCAGATGGCCTTGTGCCGCCTGCGGGAGTTAAAGATTAACCAGAGGTGAGAACCACGAGATGCTCCAAAGCCAACAGAAGCACTCCAAGTATACCTGCCTCTGGGCCCCTCCAAAAGAGACTCTACAGCCTCAACACTCCTCCTCCTGTCCTGACCTTCAAGAACAAAGTGGCAAGTTCCTCCAGAAGGGCCCTTAGCCTTGACTTCCAGACCTCAGCTTAGATGAAGGAGACGTTAGTCAAACACGATCATCTCGTGGGTGTCTCTGGGCTTCATAAGGCATAAAGGTGTAAGAGCAGGAAATAAAGTGGCCAAGCGCTTGGCAGCTTTGCCATCGAGCATCCCGTTCATCTCAAAACCCACCGTCATCTTCAACTGCAGGGCAGGTTTGCTCAGGTGAAGAGGAGCAGCCAGGCAGCGAGAGCGTGCCAAAGCAGCCGTCAAGTGCATCGCTCACTCAGAGGTAGCCGTAAGCAGAAGCAAAGCGCCAAGATAGTTGAGCCAGACTAATTCCCCTGGCAGCGGTGTTTTGACCCTAAACAAAAACCTAGCGGGGAGGCCAGTGAGGTGATCACTGCAGAACCGAACCACCGTGCTGAGGAAACGGCATGGGGCGCAACGGCAAGTCACAGCGTTCTGGGTGTGAGACAAGCAGAATACAACTGAGCTGCCTCATGCTTCCTCCCCTCGGGTGGGTTACTCTGTCACCAGTGCTGTGGACACGGAGCTGCTCTGGGTACCGAGAAGCATTGGCTGAAGTTAAAATTTACATAATCCACAAGAATTTGTGTTAACCTCTCCCAGTTTACATTCAAGGTGTCAGCATTAGTAAAAGCACAGTCAGAACAAACATCAAATATTCATTAAAATGAACAAATTAAGAGAGAGAAGAATGACATATCCACAGATATTTCAGGGCTTTTTTTAAAAAAAGCTGTAAAGTAAAAGGTATCCGGGGCAGTTAGTGCACCTGGATGTATCGTACCAGGAGCAGTGTCAAATTTTCGGGGATAATTTGACCCCTCACCCCCAATGAAATCAAGTCCTGAAACAAAAAAAAAAGAAAAGAAAGACAACCAGTGAAATTTTGATTTAAAGAAGCGAAGGCGAGTCACGTCGCCCCCATGTACACCAGTCACATCGTACCTGTGGATATTGTTAATTTAAAGAGATGCCTGCAGCTATTAAAATGGAAACAAAACGACCACGCACAACAGAGGTGAACAGCGTAGTTGCATCATGAACTTTACAGCTGCGTTGTAGCACTAGAGCAAATTTGAGTTGCTCCATCAGAAAAAATCAATTCCCCACCACCACACTCTAATCCACTTTGTTCCACAATTCCACAAAACACCAACACGGGGGGAAAAAAAACAAACCCCACACAGGCCTGTTCAGACTAGACAGTTAAACTTCCAGCACAGAGTTCATCCATTCCCATCCCTTTTTCTTCCAGAGACAAGCGTAGCCATTGCCCTTAACGTGTGCCTACACTACTCCCTCCAGTATTTAAAACTCCACTTCTCAGTCAGCAAGAAGATGATCACCCAATCTGCTAGTGCTTTACAAAACCATGCTTGGTTTTTTGCCCTTCAGGACAGCTTTCCATTTTCCGAAAACAAAAAAACCACCAAGACAGAAACAGCCCCCAAATCCCTACATTAACAATGTGTAGTAAAAGATATTGCAGTCTACAGTACTTTCTTTCCAAGTTTTGTAGCAAATACAAGAAATATGGAAGTGGCTTAAAGCAACCAAGATGTGGTGTTTACTTGAACGCTCAAAAATCATGGAAAAAATAGTTTTGACTTCACAGTGGTGTAAGATTGCTCCATTAAAAAAATACACTTAAAAAACCCCCATACAAATAGATTACTTACAATTAAGGATTGCCCCTTGCAACTCTGCCCAGTTACCACACTGCAAAATCTGAGTTCACTGGTGTCTCACAATAGCGCGCATACTTGAAACAAAAAAAAGTACCATTTTTCCAATGCAAGAGAATGTGCAAGGGCAGATCGGTGTTTGCAAACTACCCAGTGAAGAAATGTTTGCTTCAAACAGGGAAGCAATGAAGATTTCTTTTCTGCTCGCTTTCTGTAACAAGGTCTCATCCTACAGCAGTTTGAGCAAGATGGCCATGAAAGAGAGAACGCTCCCCACACCGAAATCAAGAATGAGACATCTGAGCTCCAAGTAATATTCTCTGGAGGAGGCACCAAATATTGGGAGAACTTGCATGTGTTTTCACACTACAGTTTATAAAGACGACTTTTCCAAAGAGGCAACATGGTTTCTGCTGGAAAGCAAACAGAAGCAGTGCTCCTGTGCTTCTGTAAGGCAACAGCACGCACCAGCTCACATCAGAACAATCATCCAACTCCCCATTTCCAACGTGGTCACCCTAACAGACGCAAAGGCACATCTGGGTGCTAAGAAACAGGCTCACTGAACTCCACCTCTGAACCAAAAACCCGGTTCCTCCATCCCTGAGCCAAAGAGCTACACAGAACCTCCTCAGTGCAACTGGATGGACACAAAATCCACTTACCCTCTAAATACAAAACAGCGAACACATGTGTGAAAAACCACTTACTTGTGCCATCATCTGGCTCAAAGCTGCCAGTGTTGTTCCACGTGTTGTTGTTACTATTCCCATAGTTCTCATCCGTGCCGGCCGGCTCGGCATAGTCAGCTGGGTTGAAAGTTCTGCAAAAAATATGAGGATGGAAATTTTTACTCCCTCTCCCTAAGCATTTTAAAACCAACTGATTTCATTCAGACCACGACACATTTCAGAGTCTCAAAAGACAGTTCTCTCAGCAGAGGGATGCTTCGGCTACACCAGCCATTCCAAATTTCAGTTAACACGATGCAGTTTTGCATTTAAAAAAAAAAAAAAAAGGAAAACTGGAACATAAACGACTGATGCGAAAAGCACTATTCATGCACAAAAACTTTTATTTTTGCTGTGGTTTCTATCAGTGAAACTTACCCCATGCCTTGGGCAGAAAATCTTCCCCCTCGCCTTCCAGAGCCACCTGTAAAAAATATACACACATGCACTGCTGAGCATTTCTCTTGGTTCTGCATCGCTAGGAAAAGAAACATTTGAACAACATATGGATTTCTGATGCCCAGAATATGAAAGTGGTGAGGATCTTCCAGAGTTGATGGGATTTCCAGCAGTGTCTTTATATGTATGGGAATGACCTCAGCTGGTTGACAGCATAATTAGCGATGCAAGATTCCAGGCTCAGATGAGGTTCCCAGCTGGCACAAACCATAAATGCCGCACCCCAGGTTCTGATTTCTGCAGCAAGCGTCCTCAGCAACAATTCCTGAGCAGCACAGATTTTGCGGAAAAAAGAATTTCTGCCACTGAGTATTTAAAAAACAAGCCAGGCATTTGCACAGCAATGGTGCTCAGAGACACGCGTGCAAGAACGAGGAGGATCCGGATTCTGTTGCTAACAAGCAATTAGTCCATCTGCCAAATAGCCACCTTAGGCTTTTTTAACTTCTCACCTCTATACCATAAAGCCCTATTTTTTTTTTTGAACTCCAGGGATGTGATGTAAGAATTAGATACTTTTTCTAGCACAGGGAAGCAACATGTAGGTACTAGGTGTAAGCAAAGAACAAAAAAAAAAAAAAAAAAATCAAGTGCTTATTTTCAGTTTGGCAATTCCTCCCATAGAAGAGGCTTTCCAACCTCACAGAGGAGATAGATACGCTGACGTAATTCTTCTCCTCCCACTCCCTCCGACCTCAAATCCCATGTGTACCTCGGCCTCGGCCACGTCCTCGTCTCCCTCTTTCCGTGCCTCTTCCAGAAGATCCACCACTCTTACCACCGTCTAGTCCATTCTCCTGGCCCCGAACTGAAAGACAGAATGATGCAAAGACAATTTCAAGACTCATCCTGCTTTAGGGAGGATACAAAACCAGACCTCAAGCACTGAAGCGCGGTGGCTGTGCAGGAGACCATGCCACCAAACATTCCCGTAATTTCTTTTATTTAAGTTGATGGTATTGAGGAATCATCTCAGACAGGGGAGCATCAAACAGATTGCCACGCACACACACAAGGATGGTTTTCCTCAGACGCGTCTGCCCAAGAAGCTTTACTGACAGTTTTTACGCAGCACAAAACGCCTCGGTGTGCACAGCGAGGGTTACGGGTGTTATTAAAGGGCAGATCCATACACTCTCTTCCACGGCTGGCACCTCGCCCCCGCCTCGGTGGCCCGCCACGTCGTCTGCTGAAATCCCGATCCCTCTCCCGGTTTTCTTTGCTTTCTTCACTGGGTTCTGTCTGTCCACTCTCCTTCTGTCCTGAGACACCCTTCTTCTTCCCGACCATTTCCCAGGAATGCTGCAGGTTTGCAAAAGGGAAAGAAGTTAATCATCGTTTGATTGATGCAAGATGCAAATACATGCATATGTAAACAAGCTATATAATGAGAATATAACAAAGGTCTCCAGAAAAATTATTTCCAGTCCAATTTATTTATTTATTTTTAGAAGAGTCTACCAGCCTACACACAGCACATCCTCTTCCTTCAAGGAAAACTGTCTTACAGCTGACTGGCATGCAGTTTCAGATAACAAGAGATGAGTTATTCTGTTTCTGCAAAGATCTAATAAACCTCTTAAATAGAGTGGGCATAATACTTACTCAAGTTTAAAGGGTCAATAAGTTTACTGTGTTTAGGGGAAAAAAAAACCCGTGCCATTTCATATAGGTCACTGCTTTGGGGAGCTCTCAGAATAACCCAGGGAAACATTCCGCAGCCAACATTTCGGGGTAAGTTGTTCTCTCAGACGCAGAGTGATTTAACAAAACCCCTCCCCTAAACAGCAGCTCCCAGGGAGAGGAGTATCACAATTTATCCAACAGGCAAGTTCAAGTCATCCCAAGTTTGACTGTAACTTGTTAAGCATGCCTCCAGCTTACTGCCGTCGGCCCGCATTGGTTTTATTTATGACAGTCTGCAGTGGTTTCATATTCTTACACTGATGCTGCACACAGTTAGAACAATCAAAAATAGTCATAAGTCATTGACAAACACCTGAAAACAACTGACAGACAAGTAAACAGCTGGTTTTGGATCGCAACATGCAGGGACAGTGACAAAAAAACCAAACAGAGGCACAAACCACCTTCAAACCCAAGGCTTCTGAAGTCTCTCTCCATAGGTATCTGGCTCAGAAGGAAGTTTTGGAAAAGATTTACTTTGAATACCGTAATTTTAAGCCAAATCTAACTCAATGCTAAGATCACACCAGCTCCTTTACTGTTTGAACTATGGTACATTACGAGTGACTAGCCCAGCAGGTGAGCTGTCTCCATCAGCACGTGAGTATCTGAGCAATCAGCAAGTCCGTTTCTTATCAGAAAATCCCTTTTACAGGATTGCTGCACAAGCTGAATCCAGGCCAGGAGCAGCTCCAAGACCTTTGACCAATTACAGTGCAGACACTGCCGGTGCTCAGCGCTGCAGGTACCAGCCCGGAGGCCCCCCCACGGCTTCGCTCTGCCAACTCCGTTTCTACCTCTACAAATCCTCCGCTGTAGCTGTGCCTTGCCCTGTATCTCAGGGCATTTCAGCTGGTTGAATAAAGGAGGTACTGCTACCTAATGTGGTTTGCTGCACACAGGGCATTTCAGCTGGTTGAATAAAGGAGGTCCTGCTACCTAATGCGGTTTGCTGCACGCTATCCCGGATGCTATTTTCATGAGCAATGTGTTTATCTAGGAAATGCAATTGCTGTGATAGCAGGAGTTTGTTGTTTAACTAGAAGCCACTGGTTACAAGGGATGTGGAGGAAAATACAGTTGCAGCAGTGCTCTGCCTCAGCAACGCGTATTCATCTCATCCTCCTTTCTAAAAGGATTTTCCAACGTCTGTTTTCTTCAGCTGTCAGTGGAAAGGGCTCTCTAAAGGCAAGGAAGAACCCTACACACACTGTACTGAACTCGGCCGGTGCCAAAGCTAGCAAAGCACCTGACACTGGGGAGCAGCTCCGTAACACGGAATGGTCTGAGCTGTCCAGCTAATCCATCTGCACTCAAGGCTAATAATGAGGAAAAAAAAAAAGAAAAAAGAGCTAACGCATAATATTCTGAAGTGATATTTACAGCCTCAACTCTACAAAAAGTTGAGTTGGCTTCAGCCAAACCAGGGTGATGGGAGGATATGTTTGATCAGCAACAGTTTGGAAGGGTCTGACATTTGTAGGCTTTTTACTGGGCTGTAACAGAACTCGCGTCTCTGCTGTCTTTGTCACAAAAAGAAGGCAGAAGGTTCCTCCTAAGCACACACTCGCTTGTTCTCCGAGCTGACTTTGGCTTGCCTGAGACAGGCGCCTTCGCAAGTGACAACAGCTGAGTCTAACTCCACAGAAAACAAACAGCAAAAAGACCCTCAAAAACACGGCATGGGCAGAGGCACACAAGCCAGTCAGCACACCGCTGAGAAGCAAACGGCCAGAGACACAAAACCGCATTACTCTAACAGAAAGGAACCACAGCGGACACATACCTGCCCTTTAACACAGGTCACTAGCCTTCATGTGAAAAGATAAGTTACTGCACGCTCACGGCAGTGTGAAAGCTTACACAGATGCCACTGTGCTGTTGTCAAAGTGCTTGGATTCAAAAGGAATAGGAAGTAAATGATTTACTGCGTTTTCCCCTCTTTTCCTTTGGGCCTGCTGGCCATGCTCGTATTCTGTGCAAGCCTACAGAGAACAGGACTAAGAAGCCAGGACACAATCACACGTTACGTGCTACTTGTGGAACTAGTCATTCGTTTTGGGTCTCGTTATCTAGACATTGCTGTATGTCTTGTCTCCGAATATGCAGTTACACTGAACTAGGCCTCACCAGATTTACAGGACCCAATCCTACCGTGTCCGGATTGCCCTCCAGCAGCACGTTGATGGCTCTGTTAACATCTCCGTTGCAGTCATGCAGAGCAATCACGCACTCATCCTGGTTCTTGCCTGTGATGTCGATCAGCTGTAAAGAAGACAACACCATGGTCAGCACATTCCAAACCAAGGTGGCACCAAAATCTCTATGGATCTTTTAGGAGGCAAGCAAGTTGAATCCCAAACCAGAAATCCTACAAAGAAATGTCAGGGTCTGGGAGTCTCCCCAGCCTCCTCAGCTTCATTCTGCCCCCTCAACGAGAAGAAACTGAGGGGGGAAATTTCTGAGTTACCATTGTTTCACCACAACCACCTTTTCTCAGGATAAAACCATTACTCTTCTCCCAGGTAACCAGCGACAGGACAAGAGGAAATGGCCTCAAGTTGCACCAGGGAAGGTTTAGAATGGGAAATGGCCTCAAGTTGCAGCAGGGAAGGTTTAGAATGGATATTAGGAGAAATTTCTTCACTGAAAGAGTGGTCAGGCATTGGAACAT